GGGGTGCATATGTCTTTTTGAATTAAGTTTCCCTCTGGGATATATGCCCACGTGGGATTGCTGGATCATATGGTAAGTCTATTTTTGGTTCTTTGAGGAATCTCCATATTCCTCCATTTCCACAGTGGCTGCACCAAACTGCATTCCCACCAGCAGTGTAGGAGGGCTCCCCTTTCTCCACAGCCTCTCCAGCATTTGTCATTTGTGGACTTTTGAATCATGGCTGTAAGGTGATACCTCATTGTAGTTTTGACTTTCAGTTCTCTGATAATTAGTGATATTGAACATTTTTTCATGTGCCTCTTGGCCATTTGTGTGTTTTCCTTGGAGAATTGCTTGTTTAGGTCTTCTGCCCATTTTTGGATTGGGTTGTTTGTTTTTTTCTTATTAAGTTGTATGAGCTGCTTACATATTCTGGAGATCAAGCCTTTGTCAGTTTCAGCTTTTGCAAATATTTTCTCCCGTTCCATAGGTTGTCTTTTTGCTTTGCTTATGGTTTCCTTTGCTTTGCAAAAGCTTAAATTTAATTAGGTCCCATTTGTTTATTTTTGCTTTTATTTCTGTTGCCTAGGTAGATTGCCCTAGGAACACATTGCTAATATTTATGTCAGAAAATGTTTTGCCTATGTTTTCCTCTAGAAGCTTTATAGTGTCTTGTCTTATGTTCAAGTATTTAAGCCATTTTGAGTTTATTTCTGTGTATGATGAGAGGGAGTGTTCTAACGTCGCTGATTTACATGCAGCTGTCCAATTATCCCAACACCACTTGCTGAATAGACTGTCTTTTCTCCATTGTATGTTCTTGCTCCTTTGTCGAAGATTAATTGGCTGTAGATGTGTGGGGTTATTTCTAGGCTCTCTGTCCTGTTACATTGATCCATGTGTCTATTTCTGTGCCAGTGCCATGCTGTTTTGATGACTGCAGCTCTGTGGTATTTTCTGAGGCCTGGGAGGGTTGTACCCTGTGGACACAGTATCTTGTCTCTCTGGGGATTGTGATTGGATGGCTGGCATCCCCGTGCTTCCTGCTCTGACCCTGTTCTTTGGGCAATTCTGTGTCTTTTGGTCCATTCCTTGGCTGTCCTTCCATGTGGACAAGAAGCTCCAGCAGCTCCTTGCGGGGTCTAAGCAGAGCCTGGTAACTGGCTGGCCTCTTTCTTGGGGTCCCTAAAAGGAGGTCCTTTTCCTGGGCAGTTTGATTTCTCCTGAGAAGGGTCTTCAGGTCTCCTGCCTGGGTTGGGGAAAGGTCTAGGCATCCCAGAGCAGAGTGCAGGAAAAGGGGCCAGGACCCCCAGGCCAGGAGGTAGCACCTTCTTCACCCCCTCCCCCAGGCCTCACTGTCCCCCAAGATACCGTGGCTGGAAACTCTCAGACTCAGTTTCTCTGGAAAAGGGGGTCTAAGCTAGTTTTGTCCTGGAGTCGGGGTGGGGGCGGGCTGTGGGAGGTGGGGAAGGGCATGGGGTCAGACCCCTCCCACGACCTGCACCCTCGGGCAGGGACCAGGTGATGACACTCTCTGAGTGCAGTGGTGTTCTTCTGTCTCCACAATATTCACATCTCTGTCCTTGGACAGCTGGTCAGGCCACCTGACTTGCCTCAGCCAATGATACTCAAGCAGAGTCCAAGCAGAGGCTTGAAGGTCGGCTATATCTCTGCCTCCCTTGCTTTCCCCTCTGGGACAGTTCAGCCCCATCCCAGAGAGACTGCCTGACCTGCCTGGCTCCGGGGACCAGGCCAGGATGGGGACCCTGTGTGAGCAGAGCCGCAGGGGACCTGGCGGAATACAGTGCCTGCAGAGAAGGAAACCTTGGCTGCCGCAGGCCACTGTGGTTGCAGGGCTGTTTGTCACATGGCGTAGCGGCAGGGCTGACAGCCGTGGTGCTGAGGCAGTTAGCATCCTCACCTTCTGGTTAGAATCCGGTGGGAAACATAAAATCTCTCATCTGCTCTTGTCTCCTCTCCAGTCTCCTTTGTTCTTGTGGGCTTCCCTCTGGTTTTAAGATCCCTTCTTTGTCACTCTAGAGGGGCTGGCTGAGGGAGACGCAGCTGATGAGCCATTTTCAGCTGGGGCTGCGGTTACCCCGTGCCGCTGGTGGGTGTGCAGACTTCACAGTCCGTCCCGTCTGGTCCTCTTCAGAGCAGGCTTGTGGGGGAAAACTCCCTGAGTCCTTGTGTTTGAAAATGCCTTTAATTCCACTCTTGTGCTTGACAGATTGTGGCTTGGACCAGAATTCCAAGCATCACTCCACTGTCTTTATACTTGGTGTACACGGCCATCTGATTCTTGTCCCCTTTTCCTGCTAATCTTCCGTCCCTCCTCCGTCCCTTCCTTCACTCCTTCATTCATGTCCTGGGGCTGCCATAACAAAGGACTGCACTCTAGATGGCTCAGAACAGACACCTGTTCTCTCTCAGTTCTGGAGGCCAGAAGTCCCAGAATAAGGAGGGGGGGGCTGTGACCCTTGGAGGCGGGGGCTCTGGGGGAGGATGTGTCCCAGGCTCTGTCCTCGCCCTGGTGCCTTGTAGCTGCAGCACGGTCGCTACCATCTCATCATCTGGCCTCACCCGGTCTCCTTATAAGGACTAGTCGCTGGACTTATGACGCCCGTGTGACCCCATCCTGACCAGGTCTGCAAAGACTCCATTTCCAGATAAAGTCACGTTCACAGACACTGGAGGTTAGGACTTCAGCATATTGTGGGGGGCCACCATCCAACCCAGAGCACCCCTCTCCATTTTAAAGATTTGTCTTCATCTTTAGAGTTCTGAAATTTTTCTACTCTGTGTTGGGTCAAGATTTTATTCCCCCTTCTTACCTGAAAACCTACATTTCTCTTCAGTCTGGGGGAAATTTTCCGGGGGGATGTGTGTGTGTGGTCTGAATGTCTGTGTTTCTGGGTGTTCTGTTTGTCTGTCTGTCTGTGGGTGGTGCCCCCCCATCTCCCCCCCGGAACGCCCCCTGGCAGGTGGCGGGGCTGTGGGTCTGTCCTCCGCCCCCCTCTCGTTGTTCCCCTGGGTTCTGCATCCAGGAGGGAGGGGTCTTCCAGCTCAGCCTGCAGCTCATGGGTCTATTCCCTGTGCTATCACCAGTCCCATTTTCCGAGTCCGGGTTCTCCAGCAAGAGACACACTTCCCCTCGGCAGACACCACGCTCTCCTGTCTCCCGGAGACGACAGCCGTCTTCCAGAGCCTCCCCAGTTGCTCCAATAGTGGTTTTCCAGGCTTCGGGGTTGGGGGTGCCTTTTCCCCTCAGGCTGGTGTTTCCTGCCCATCTTGGCCTTCTTCCAGCGCCTGGAGTGCTGGCGAAATAACCAGCCCCGAGGTGTTCTGGTCCCAGTCCCTGGGACGCGCTAACTCCCGCGGGCCACAGGGGTTTGCACATGTGGTTGTGCTGATGATCTTGAGCTGGGGAGACCACCCTGACTGTCAAGGTGGGCTAAAAGGCTCCGAGAGAGGCTGGGTTGGAGAGAGGCTGGGTTGCTGGCTTCGCAGGTGGAGGAGGGGCCATCAGCCAAGGGATGCTGGCGGCTTCTAGACCCTGGAAAGGGGAGTGGATTCTCCTCTGTCGACACCATTTTTCACCGCTGAGGCCCATTTTGGACTTCTGCCCTCCAGGCTGTCAGACAAGGGGTGACGTCTTGAGCCATTCAGTTTGCAGTGATTTGCAGCCACAGGAAACACATGCTGGGAGTCATGACTCCAAGTTCAGGAGCCGTCGTGACATGCTTGCCTCGGTTCCTCTCAGCCTGGGGCGGCGGAGGGGAGGCAAGGAGAGCCGCTGGGGGGCACTTTGGAACCTGACCTGCTGGCCCCCCAGGGTGACCTAGACAGAAGACAAATATGTGTTCATTTGATAAATTCTGGAAAATAAATAAAAAATATTAAACATTTGCACAAAAGAGTCATAGCTGGCTCACAGGCAACAGTTGTAGATGGTTCGGTGCACTTCTCTGCAACCACAGGAGAAAGAGAGGGAAGAGGGGCTGGTGGTGGGGCGGGGGGCAGGGGTAGCATGAGCTGTTTCTAACTGTTCCTCCCCCTTGTGTCACAGCTCCCGCCCCAACTTTTACAAGCAGCAGTTTGGTGTCTCTGCACCTCTTCCTCTTTATGCGCATATCACTCAATTATCTCTGACACTGGTGTTTGAAGCAAGCGTTTTTTTCCCTGTTGAGCTAATTGTGCGCCTCTGATCATTTTCTCAGCCTCGGTGCCTGGAAGCGGAGCTGCCGGCTCATGGGAAGGGGCACTTTGAAATCTCTGCATCGGGGCACGTCCCTGGGGAGAGCTTGTGCCCAGGGAGCCCCACCGACAGGGTCCCAGCCAGAGCACGGCCAAGGAGTTTGGCTTCGTCCAGTGGGCTTTCGGCCTGGAGCCTAAGGCAACCCAGTCTGTACCCAAAGAGACAGTGCTGCTGTGTCGGGGCGGGACGGGAGGCAGAGGCACCTGGAGGTAACCAGGCTTCACCCAACAGGGTTTGAACGTCTCCAAAAAGTAATTCAGTCTTAGAAGGTGAAGATTGCTATGTGAGGCCAGAGAAGGTGGCCCAGGCCCCAAGGGACACCCATGGACGTCAGGGCTGCTTGCCCCTTGGCCTCCCTGGGCCCCAGAATCCCGCGGGCCTGCAGGTGGGCCTGCCTGGGTGAGTGCTCACGGGGTTTGTCAAGGATGCTGGGGAGAGCCCATCAGCCATACACCCAGTAAATACCCCGGTGTGCCCCAGCGGGTGTGCCCCCAACGTGCCAGATCTGGGGCCCTATGCGGGGCAGAGAGGAGCCCAGCTCAGGCCTGTCCCAGCAGCCATCTCCGTGGTCTGTGCACCCAGGGAGGCCTAGGCTGACATACTGAGCCCCACCCTCCCTGGCTGAATGTTCACAGAGGCCCACCCTAGGCCGTCTCCCTGGGTGTGGGAGGAGGACGGTGAACACCTGGCACGGACTAGCTGACCCTTGGGAGAGGCAGACATCTCCCAGGGTTGCACAGCACCCTAAGGAAGGCCGGCTGAGGCCTGGATGGAGTAGGGAGTAGGGACTGGGCCTCCTGAGTGGGGCAGGGAAGGCCTGCACTGGGCCCCCAGTCTCAGAGCTGGGGCCTGAGGTCAGGCAGCAGGTGGCAGTGGGCACAGGGCACAGCCTGAGTGGCCAGAGCCGCCATGGCAGCCCTGTCTCCTCAGCACCCTGGGCTGCCAGGCTGGGACAGGTCCAAGTTCCGGGGAGAGAAGAGGCTGGGGTCCTCAGGGGCATCCTGGAGGGCAGCTCTCCACTCTGTCTACCTCACAGGGTCCAGCCAGGGCGGGGAGGGGTCCCGGAGGCAGGCGGTGGCCACCGGCCACACCCCCACCTGCCCGGGGCCGGTGCCCTGCAGTTCAGGTCACTGGGGGAAGCAGGCCTCATCCCTCCCTAGAGTCTCCGCAGTTGGGAGGATTCAGTGGTGGGGAGGGAGGCCCCCCACCCTCCCATCTGCCCATACTCCCCCTGGAGCTGGGGACCCTGCATGCGCGCCTCCAGCCCTGGCCTTGGCCCAGCTGCTGGCCCCACACCCCTCTGGCAGAGGCCCTAAACTGTAGACCCTTCTTCCTCGTCTGGGATAAACGATTAGCCGCAGGTGTGGGCCTGCCAGCCTGGGCCCAGCAGGGTGGGGCCGGGTGGGGACGCCTGCTTGTCCTGCGCCCCAAGCTCATGAAGCCATGGCCCCCGCGGTGTGCGAAGGCTGTCGGCTGCAGGATGTGACAGGGAGGCGTGAGAGGCACTGAGACTGAGTTGGGGGCGCAGGCCTCATGTCCCTGGGGGTGGCCAGTGGCCCCCAACCTGCAGCCCACGTGGGCCAGAGAGCAGGCCAGGGTCCTCGGCCACTCCAGGAAACAGAGACCGGCGCCAAGGATGGACAGCCAGGGGCCCTTGTCCTCCTCTTGAGGTGCTCATTTTTCCCATCAGGAGTCCTTTTTCTTCCATTTCCCCTCTTCCTGGGGTCTGGAGGCCTTCTTTATGCACCAATATGCTATTTTGAAACACTCCGCATTGTTCTGAGATTTCAAAGTCAAGGCCAACAGCCAAAGACAACATATTTTTCTGGCCACAACGGTAAATCCTGGTCACTAAAATCTACTTGAAAAATTAGAAAAGCCTGTAAAAAGAAAAATTTTACATCCATATTGCTGTGTAGAGATAAGGTCTGTGGGTATTTTGGCCTATTTCCCCTCTGATTAAATTAATATACACATTTAGGCAGAACAAGCGTGTAGCTCTGAACCCTGGTTCTCACTCAACACTCTGTACCGTGAGTGTTTCCAGGGCAACCCTTCAGTGGCCAGTGGCCGTGCAGCATCCCATCCCATAACTAGGCGCTCCACCTGCCCCTCTGGTGGCCTATCTTCACCCACCAGGCGTGCATGCCTGGGACACCCCTGCCCTTCTTGGCTGCTCCCTCAGCCTAGAAGTGGGGGGTTTGAGGCCGGGGTGCCCCGGTGTGATGGGGGCCCCTGGGGGCGGCTCAGCCATCTGCACCTCCTCCCATTGCTGCCTGTGTCTTTGGAAGAGGCCAAAGGGGCTGGTTCAGCCCAAGGAGAGAGGCCAGGCTGCCCCCTAACCCTCACCGTCCACCCAGCACGGCCTCCACAACCTCGCCTGCCGCCTGCCCTCCCCTGGACGGAACATGCTTCTCCCTTCAACCCCAATGTGACTGGAAGAGGGTGCACCTGGAGCGGAGGCCACACCCTAAGCCCTGGGCTCAGACCAGGGCCCAGCAGAATTCTAACCACAGCACCTGGGTCGCCCTGCGATTGGAATCTTTAGGGACAGGCCAGGAAAGGGTCGCAGGGACAGAAAACACATGTGCCTCACTGAGGACCCTGGCCTGGAGATGTCACGGGGAACCTGACATCTGCTGGCAGAGAAGCCCCCCACTGAGGGGGTTAGCACTGAGAATCTGCCCTCCGGGGCCCCCTCCCTGCCAAGCAGGGCCTCTCATGGACAGGGGCCGGGTGGTATCCCAGCCTTCTGAGAAGTTCAGGAAGACTCAGCAGGTCCCCAACGGGACATTTCTTCCCACCTAGCCTGTCCAGAACCCCTGCTCTCTCGTCCCCAACCCGCTTGCCCCTGCTCTGAGGCAGCCTCCTCCCTGGGCTCGCACGCCCCGCCCAGCCTGGACCTCCACGC